AGATCTTTGAGTAGGATTAAGATATTCTATAGGCTTTAACAAAAGTAAAAAAATCAGTTCCCATTTTGATCTGAAAGACACGTGGCTTGCGAGCCGTCTTGATCGTTGATCTCTGATCACTAAGAGTTAGCGACACCTCCTTGAGGTAGCTACTCTTGAGCACTAAGTGCTGTCGATTCACTGAATCGTTAGGTCCCCTGGAACAGGGATCTGAAGCTATAAAGCTTGTTGACTCGTAAAGTCGTTAGTTCTTTAGAACTAAGTTGCTCGTAGAGCGTTAAGACTTCCTCTGACTTAAGGAGCTGTGTAGCTCCGCTACACTTGGTAGCACTTGTAGTCAATCTACGCCTGAGTCTTTAAGACTGATCCTCTGTGAGGATGGAAAACATCACTCCCCTATCTGAGGCCCAAAAGGTCGCGCTTGATAAGCTGACCGCATCTTTGGGTCCAGAGTACGTGGAGTTCCTTGTTTCACAAGGTCCTGAAGTGCTTAATGCACGTGTTAAAAGCTTCACGCAGTATGAAGCGACCCTTTTAGGGCAGGTCCAAGACCAAATAGCGTCGGCTATGCCTACACGCTACGTGTCTGTACCAGACGAAGAGGCTAAGCCTCGTCCACTTAGAGTGGAAGTAAAAAACTACTCCGGTAAGGAGGGCGAGAACCTCATCCTTTGAATCCGCGAGATCGATATGGCTATAAGTTCAGGCCTGATCACGCTTGACCATCAACAGGTCTCGCTGGCTATCTCGAAGCTCGATGGTAGAGCTAGAGAATGGGCCTTGACGTGTAGCACGTCGGTGGACATAGCGTTTCCCACGTGGGAGTCGCTCAAGTTACAATTGGTACAGGTGTTTTCTCCACCTAACCAGGCTTACCGCGTGCGCTCACGCTTTCTTTCTACCCGGCAGGGTAAGAATGAGTTATCGGACTATGTCCAAGAGCTGCGAACGCTCATGGCTGCAATGCAGTCTGACCCTTTGCCTGAAGCAGTCCATGTGACTATCTTCATGGAAGGTCTACGTACTGGCATTGCCAGGACCGAAGTTTTTCGGGTTCACCCTTCTACGTTTCAAGAGGCTGTGAGAATTGCTCTTAATGCTGAGCATAACTTCAAGTCGGCCAGACTTGGTTGGAACGGATACAATCCTCCCTCTGTGAGAGCAAACTATTCGGGTACCACTGCCTATAATAGGCCGGAACCGATGGATCTCAGCTTTGCTGAAGATGGAGGTGAAGCTGAGCTTCAAGCTGCTGAGCAGCAACACGTTGTAAGACGATGCTATACGTGCGGAAGCACCTAAAACTTTCGGCCTGGTTGCCCTTTGCGTAAGCAACGCCAGACTACGAGCCAACACTCGAGCCCGAGTCAGAAGTCTGGCATGGCACGGGGAAATGCCGACACCCAGTAGGCGCGGGGCGCCCTACTGGGGAAGAATTATGTTCTGTTACACCTTTAGAAGGTAAAGGAATGCAGGGCTTAGCCCCAAAGAGTACCATACCTACGGGTATGGTGCGTGGATACAAGTCTGGCTTGTTGGTCGCCGAGGCGAAAATTAAGGGCTTCGAGAAGCCTTGGTCGATATTGATCGATTCTGGAGCGTCTTGCAATTATGCTCGACGCCGTTCCCTTTGAGGGAAGTCAGCGTTATGCTGAGGCGCTTTCAGCGCATGAGGGTGATTCTATCACGGTTCGACTGGAATTCGCGTAACGGTGCCAAAGTTCCATTGAACTTAGGTATAAAGTTTTTAGACTTTGACAGTATTGAGCGCTGTCTTGTCCTAGATTAGGACTCGAGATATGTCTCATCCTAGGTATGGCTTGGCCTGAGCGCCATGAGCCATAGATTGATTGGAGGTCTAAGACCTTAGGCGCTACGCGCAATGTTCCTAGCGAAGCTTTGGAGAGTCATGAACCCACCTTTGCTAGGCAGCAGAAGCGCTATTGGCGCGAGCCTTTGACAGAAGATGTCAATGTGTTGGATATTGGAATGTCCGAGTTATCTAACTCCAATGTTAAAAACATAAGTTTCGAGCCTAGCTCGTCTAAAACTAGTGAAACGGCACAAACTCCGTTGAGTGGTACTCGTTGTGATAATGAGTCACTGCATGCTGAAAGCATGGTTGGCCTAGGGCCGAGTAATCAAGGACGTGATTCCTTTGATGTGTGTATGGTGGCACGTAAAATTACACCGAGTGCGGTCGGCCGTGAGAGCACCGCACTGCATGTCGGTAATGACATTTTTGGCCATATGCCATTTAGTGTGGGCGGCCGTGAGGGCACCACGCTTAACGCCGGTAATGGCGTTGTTGGCGATTCGCCATATGGTGTGGGCGGCCGTGAGGGCACCACACCTAATGTCAGTAATGATATTGTTGGCGATACGCCGTATAGATTGGACGGCCGTGAGGGCACCACGCTTAAAGCCGGTAATGGCGTTGTTGGCGATACGCCGTATAGTGTGGGCGGCCGTAAGGGCACCACACCTAATGTCAGTAATGACACTGTTGGCGATACGCCGTATAGAGTGGACGGCCGTGAGGGCACCACGCTTAACGCCGGTAATGGCGTTGTTGGCGATACGCCGTATATTGTGGGCGGCCGTAAGGGCACCACACCTAATGTCAGTAATGACACTGTTGGCGATACGCCGTATAGTGTGGACGGCCGTGAGGGCACCACACTTAATGTCGGTCAAGACAAAAGCTCTCGTGTAGAGCGTACATTGGTTGGTAGTAACCATGTAGACATTATTGTCCCGACCCCTAAGGGGAGTAAGGTCTCGAAGAGACAATCGAGACGCCGAGTAGCAGCTGTAAAGCGCCAGGAGTCCTCACAGTCACATATTGAGATTAGAAATACACTATATACACTTGCTAATGGAGTGACTGGTCAGGTTAATGGCAACGTGAGCCTCGAAACCCTTCCATTTGTGGACGCTCTGTGTGAGCTAGACGAAATGTCTGATGGCGAGTTTAGCCAGGCCTTGAAGGCAGGAGAGTTATCCGAGTTAGCAATCATTAGACCTGATATTGACTTAAATTCTTCCTCGTTAATGGATGAGTCTGTCCTAAAAGATACAAAGGCGGCACTTAGTGCACGAAGTGGATATTCAATCCTTAAAGATCCTTTGGATCCGTTCTATCCTTTAGTCAAGGAATTTCAAGATGTGGTGTGTCACAACCCACCTTCTGCCTTACCTCCCGATAGAGGTGTACGTCATGAGATTGACTTGGTTTCTGGAACTAAATACTGTGTAACACGGCAGTGGCCTTTGCCTAAAGAACAGTGCGACGTCATTGACGATTTCTTTCGTGCTAAGCACACGGCTGGAATGGTTCGTGAGAGTAAATCTCCCCATTCAACACCGACATTTTGTGTCAAAAAGCCAAATGGCAAGTGGCGTATTGTGCATGCTTACAATAAGCTTAATGCAGCCACCATACCGGCGCAGACGCCTATTCCTAGAAAGGATGTTCTTCAAAACAATATGGCGGGATGTACACTGTACAGTGCACTCGAATTAGTCGATGGTTATTACCAACTGCTCATGCGAGCAAGCGATATTCTGCTGACAGCGGTGAGTACTCCGAGCGGTATGGTTTGGTAGTGGCTCGTTATGCCGCAAGGGCTATCTAACGCCCCGGCTACATTTAACCGGTTGGTAACGCAACTATTCAGACCTCATCGAGGCTATGCACAAACGTACTTTGATGACATTTTTGTCCATAGTCGTGCAATGAATGGGCGATCAGATGTGGATAACCACATTGATCATTTACGAGCTGTGCTCGAGTGCATGCGAACGAATAAGTTGTATGCGAACGCATCGAAGTGCATCTTTGGTGCAGAAGAGATTCCCTTTCTAGGGTGCTTCATTGGGAAGCGAGGCCTTCGAGCGGATCCCGCTAAGGTAAAAGCCATAGTCGATTGGCCAGTCCCCAAGAACCAAAAAAACTTGCGTAAGTGGCTTGGCCTTGCCAATTACTTACATAAGTACAGTGCAAATTACGCAGATATGGCTCGGCCATTGTCCAATCTCCTTAAAAAGGATGTGGGTTGGTGTTGGGGTAACACCGAACATAGTGCTTTTGAAGCAGTTAAGGAGAGTCTCCTTCATGCGCCAATATTGGCTTTGCCCGATTCTGGTCGGCCTTTCAGTGTCGTCTGTGACGCATCTGACTTTGCCATAGGCAGTGCTCTGCTACAAACAGATGTCGACGGACGCGAACGCGTCATCGCATTTGAATCTCGACAGCTGAAAGCTGCTGAAAAGAACTATCCTGTTCATGACAAAGAGCTACTTGCTATGAAGTACGCTCTTGTCAAATTCAGAGTCCATCTGCTTGGCTCGAAGCCATTTGTGATCTATACCGATCATGCGTCATTGCGCACTGCGACACAGTCGCCTCACCTCTCACAGAGAATAGCTCGTTGGCTTTCTTTCTTTGCCGAATATAACTTCGAGGTGAAGTACAAGCCAGGTAAGCAAAACGCTTTGGCTGATGCGCTATCGCGTCGAACTGACTATGAGCTTGCTCATGTTACGACCCTGTCGTCGTCAGTCCCTGACTTAATTCGTGCGGCACATGCCAAAGACGATCAGTGTGTAGCTTTGCTACGTGCTCTTGAGAGCAATGAGTTAAAGACTCGGACATAGAATTGTCGGCACGTTTACGTGTGAGGCTACATCGATATTCCATTGATAATGGCCTGTTGTGCTATCGCACGAATATTGAGGACAACCCTCGTATCGTAGTACCTCATCATGATGAGCTAAAGTATCGGATCCTCTATGAGGCACATGATACTGCTTAAAGTGGTCATCTCGGTCGTGAGAAGACTTATAGCTCGGTGAGCCAAAGTTATTGGTGGCCCGAACTTTATAAGTGGGTGCGCACCTATGTGCGTACGTGCGAAACGTGTCAACGGGTAAAACCCTCGGCACATGCGGCGGCGCCGCTGGCTAGTTTGCCGGTACACAATGGTTGTTGGGAGTCCATGAGCATGGATTTTGTGTTTGGCCTACCGAAAGATTCGGAAGGCGACACTGGTATTGTGGTCTTTGTTGACCGATTGAGCAAGATGGCTCACTTAGCGGCTGTGCCGGATAGCATTGATGCTGAAGGTACAGAAAAGCTGTTTATCGACCGTGTCTTTCGCCAACATGGCTTGCCTGTGGCAATTATCTCTGATAGAGACCCCCGCTTCACTGGGAAGTTTTGGAAGTCTATCTTCAAGGTGCTTGGCACTCGGTTGGACATGTCCACAGCGGATCATCCGCAGACCGACGGTCAAACCGAGCGTGTAAACCGCGTCATTAACGACATTTTGCGCAGTGTTTGCGCTGATGCGCCTAGGCGTTAAAGCTCAATGCTCCCTGTCGTTGAGTTTGCGTTGAATAACGCTGTTCATGCCTCAACAGGCTTTACTCCGTTCTATATAAACGGTCTCACTCACCCTCGCGTTCCGTTAACGCTATCACTACGTGACTCAGGGCTTGGTGGGGGAGAGGTTGCCGATCGGCTTGCTGATATCAGCCCTGCTACTGTTCAAAAACAGGTAGGCGAGTTTCTCGCAACGCGATTAAATGTCTTAAGACATGTGCGTGACGCAATGGCTGATAGCCAAGATACCCAAAAACAACAAGCTGATGCCAAAGGCAGAAATTGTATTGAACGTTATGAGGTCGGAGACCAAGTACTACTCAATGCTAAAAATCTACCTACAAATGTAGTGTCTGCTGTCTTTAAGACAAAGTTGCGTCCACGCTTTATTGGACCGTTTACGGTCACGGCCAAGAAGGGACTTGCGTATACGCTAAACCTCCCGCGCAAATTGCGCACACATCCAGTGTGCTACGTAGGCTTACTTAAGCCGTACCGGGATCCTTCCCATGTGAACTTGGAGGCGCTTGCGCCGACGACAAGGGCACTGCCCCGGATTGCTGTAGACGAATCAGCAAGTCCAACTGAGCCTCGCTCCGAGTTTGAGCTTGCTCCATCGCCTGAAGGCGGCTTTGCATCGCATCCAGCATGCACTGGGACTTACCCAAGGCCTCTTGAAGACCCTTCACTTCGAGAACCAATTTCTTGTGGGCCTCCACCGGTACACCGGCCGCCACCGACTTTGCTCGATGAGCATGGGTGTCGTCAATTCCATGTCGAGAGACTACTGAAACGACGTCGTCGTCAGGGCCAATACCAGTATCTGGTAAAGTGGCGTGGGTACCCTGAGTCTGAAAACTCATGGGAATTTGAGGTACTCCTTCGGCAAGACTGCCCATATGCTTTGGAGGCTTTTGAGCATCGTGGCCATGGTCAGCTCGAGGCCGAGGCCGTTCACCACCACTAGTGGTGCGGGTTGGCGGGTTGTTGGTCACAGACTGACCAGCACTCGCGGCTACCTTAGTAGCCGAAGCATAGCGCGTGCGCTTGCGCAATTGGCCTCTGGCCTTAAGCTTGGCATAATCATACCGAAGCTTGCGTTCGAGACGCACGTCAGCCACACTGGCACTAGTCCTGAGAGCAAAAATGTTGCTGAGGCGACGCACATAGTGCACCCAGTGAACAAAGGCATCGTCTTCTTCACTCGCTGTTTCGCCTGCGAGCAGGAGAATGGGTATACCCTTCATCGGTGGAACTGGTGCACCACGTGCTTGCATGTCAAGGCGTGCCTTGTATTGACTTTGAGTCGTTAGGTGCGGCTCCAGGTACCTCTCACGAAGTGCCTGGCAGCTCACCACCTCCTCAGGAGTCTTAGGCCCATGGCCAATGACCCACGTTGCCAATGTTTGGCCGGCCGCTTGACGCAGACGTTCCTCCACACTGGGTGGGGTGAACACATAATCACGCTGGCGCTCAAGGGTTGCAGTCATCTATGCATAACGCTGAGCGTTTTCTTCTCTTTGAACAAGCGGTTGTTGTTGCTCATCGAGCGGGTTCGCGATGATAGTCTCATCAGAACCAGATGCTGCATGCTGCGCTGGCGGCGCGCTCGCACCTCCACGTTTAGCGAACGGATTTGGGGTGTTCGAAAGTTGTGCCTCAGGCATCAGTGAGCCGGACGTTGTCCCTGTGTCACCGCGGACACTGGTATCGCTACCATAGTCCACCTCTTCCTCTATTCCGAGGTAGTCACACAGAGCCTTTGACTCGTTTGGTGATGAGGACATCGTGCTGGAGCGTACGTTACCGTGAGGTTCACCGTACGCGCACTGTTCTCGCTGATAACACGAGTTCGATTGACGTTTTGGCAAACGTCAGTCTGGTGGGGGAGGGTGTAACAAGGTTGCACGAAATCATGGTACTTGTACCAGAGGTGTTACACACCTGAGGGTTCGCTTCTGTGAAGGTGATATAGAATATCTTATCGGTTTGTAGGGGCTGACGAGTGTCAGCCAATAGATACGAAAGATCTTTGAGTAGGATTAAGATATTCTATAGGCTTTAACAAAAATAAAATCAGTTCCCATTTTGATCTGAAAGATACGTGGCTTGCGAGCCGTCTTGATCGTTGATCTCTGATCACTAAGAGTTAGCGACACCTCCTTGAGGTAGCTACTCTTGAGCACTAAGTGCTGTCGATTCACTGAATCGTTAGGTCCCCTGGAACAGGGATCTGAAGCTATAAAGCTTGTTGACTCGTAAAGTCGTTAGTTCTTTAGAACTAAGTTGCTCGTAGAGCGTTAAGACTTCCTCTGACTTAAGGAGCTGTGTAACTCCGCTACATTTTCAATCCGTCGATCGGCCTGATCTTGTAACTCACAATCTTCCTTTTTAATCTCGTCAGGCTGACAGCTGGACGGATTATGAGTCGGATCAGTTCCATCATACCTTTCACCCCTAATTCTGTTCGAGTCGTATTGCATCGGCATTGGTCGATCTCTAACCCGACTGACTTCTTTCCTGGCTCTGATCGCATCGATCACCATTGGGGATCTCATGGATCTTCTCTTTATCTGCTGGTGATTCGATCTCCACTACTCCGTCGCCCTCAACCAGTCCATCGGTCTGTTCTTTAAATTCACCTTCTTCAATTAAGATCGCCTCTGGCTATTGTTTGTCTGTGCAACGGATCAGCTGCCTCGTGTCTGATCTCTTACGTCGCAAAATCACCCTCTCGTCATCAATCTCTTCTTTGTCTAATCACGTCCTCTACAAGTATCGACCGTCTCCTTGATTGTGTAGTTCGCCGAAGATAGTTCTGTTGATCATTGATCTATTTTTCGTCGTGTGGCTTCCGTCCATTAGTTGGTCTCAAATCTCATTTCGGTTGGTCATTTCTTGGTCTGCTTGCGACAAAATCTTCCCAAATATCTCTATTGCTTGGCGGGGTAAAATTCGAGTGAGAACTTCATACACAAATTGATCAATTAATGGCCCCGCATACTCTTCTACTGTCTTTCATCTCTTTCCGTATTCGCTTTTAACGTCAGCGTTTGCCATTCTGTCTACCGTCTTGATCCGATTGATACACACCCTGGTGATCTGTGTGCCAGGTCCGAAGTCATCCACAAGGCTAACGAAGCACTAAGACCCAAAATTATCTCACGATCGCTGAGGTTAGTGAGCGGCAGATACTTGATCCGGCCTGGCCCATTAGTGACCGTCGGCACCCATGTTAATCCCTGTAACGGGGTGAATTGTTACATAAAAATTTATAAGAAATTGTTGATAGAATATAACTATAAGAGTTAGATTCTCAGAATATTGTCATAAGGACAAATATTCTGTAGCACTTACGAGTAGTTCCTAATTGGTTGATATAGGCCATTGTATCAACCAACGAAGACGCGCCACGACAGACGCACGCAATGAGTGGTGAGCAGATAGTTGACATGCACATTTGTATTTAGACATAGTTAGATGAGGATAAATAGTGATTTATTAACAGACATTAACTATGCTAAATACAGTTCTACTTTTTACTTAAACTAAGTACTCGCTTCTTCTTACCGTATTTCTCTGCACGTGCCAGTGTACGTGAAGTTCCGAGGCACCGCCTTATTCTGTCATCAGACTAAGTAGCTTGTACTGTCACCAGTACAAGCTTCAGGGTGCCCCGCTACACCTGGTAGCACTTCGTAGTCCGTCCAAGGACCGCGTTCACATCCAACATGAATATGTTGGATGATGAAGATGACCAAAGCTTTCACGCTACGCGTGACGGCTACTCCCATTTGAGCGATGTCGAATGGGATGCGGTTGAACGAATGGGTTCGACCATGGGCATCCATGCTGTTAGCGTCATGCTAGAGGCTCTCAATAGAGATGCCCAACATGCTACTATCGCCAAGTTCATTCAAAATGAACTTGACGCAGAACGCGAGAAAGTAGCCTTACTTCACCAACAAGGTTCTCAACAAGCAGAGTTGTTGAGAGAACAAGGTGCTCAACAGTTTGAACTGTTGAGACAGCAGCAGGCTGCTGCTGGCGGGTCGATGCACTCGCGTCGACCCGAGACTTTGACGATTGACATCTCAAAGTAAAGGGGGGTCGAAGAAGACTCCCTCTTGAGATGGTTCGTCGAATTGGATGACGCCATAAGGGCGCTTCGCATCGACGACAAGGATGTGCAAGTTGTATTTGCCCAGTCAAATCTGGCAGGACGTGCCAAGACTTGGGCACTGGGGCTCAAGCTGCACGACCCATATGCGTTTGGGTCGTTAGAAGTCTTCAAGTCGCGGCTCAGACAAACGTTTGAACCGCCTAGAGCTGAGTTCAGAGCTCGAAACGAACTCTTGAAGCTCAAGCAGGGTAAGCGTGATGTGCACGCTTACGCGCAACATATACGACATCTTACGAGTTGTATAAGTTCCAATCCGGTGGATGAACACACGTCGGTTTCGGTATTCAATTAGGGTCTTGCGGATTGCCCCATTAAGACTCACCTGTTCCGGCTTGAACTAGATACACTAGAACAAGCAATTTCCATTGCGGAACAGGAAGACTTCAGTCTGAGACAGGCTCACGCCAGCTCGACATCATATCATCAACCGAGACGATATGACAGCGGAGGTCCAGAGCCGATGGAACTCTGTTATGTAGAGAGCGAGAAAGCTCGCTCTACAGACTACAAGAAGTTGCAGAAATGCAACAGATGTCAAAAGACAGGACACTACGCTTACGAGTGTAGTGCTCCTCGTCCAGTGTCTCGCAACACTAGGCGTAGTGAACGTCCACCCATGAGAAAGGGGCAGGGACGCGGGTCCGCCGTTGGTGCAAAGACGCAACAACGGGATGGACCGTCAAAAAACCGACAGGATCAGTAGGTGCGGAGCACCCTACTGGTCCAGCAACGTCAAGAGAATCTGTAGGCCTCTTGATGAAGGTTGCTCCCAACGCTCAAACGTTGTGCGTTGCTGC